CTACATCCACAAACAACCTTCTGACCTATGCATCACTCTCCTGTTATCATACCAACGCACAAGGTCTTTTAAGCAAACTGACGGAGCTTCGCCTGCGTCAAGCTTCGATGTCAAGAGACCTCGTTATGATAAGCGAGACCTAATTGAGTGAAGCGATCACTGATGCAGAAATCGCACTACCTGGGATGTCTATTCTACGCTGGCTGACTTGCCGAACAACCTTCTCGTGGTGCCAGCTGGGTGGTTCGGGATTTTCCTGTTCCAGCAAATGGTTCGGCGGCAGTGTTCCAGGACGTGGTGGGTTTTCGCCTGGCAAACGTTCTCCCTATAAAAAGCCACATATGTCCGTTTAACAACACTGTGACGTGGCGGACGTGACTCGCCACTAAATAAAGTCACTGCCCCTTGCTTCATTCTGGCGAAGCATTGTATTCCAGCAAGTTGATGCTGTAATTTCGGGGAGCATTGGGCCCCTGTTTGGCAAGGGAACAAACGAAAGGCGTATGAACTGATCAATCAGTCACCGGCTCCCAATGGGCGCGATTCCCTGAATTCGCTCCGCTGCCTTGCGGGCAGGCTATTCAGCCAAAGGCTCGGGGTGGTGTCCCCTAAGTCAACACCCTACTTCGGCTTGGGCAACCGGGTAGTATTTCGCCCTCTGACGAAACCGTGGACATTGTTGTGTTGTGTTGTGTTTTCTTTTATTATTTCTGTACCTTGTTTTGAGTTCCATGGTTTCCGATGGTGCAATGTCTATTCATAGACTGTTGCAAATATATGTATATATATATATATATACTATTCTACGCAACGATCGATTAAGTAGAGGAAGTGGAGTACTAATTTATTATCGCAGCGAACTACACCTTGGTCTCATCGATGACCCGTAGGTTCAGATTGTCAATGCGCTTTGGTGTCGTCTTCACTTAAACCATGGGGACACCTTCGGTCGGCTACTTTGGAAATGGACAGCCGCCTAGCCTCCACAATGAAGACCATTCTCTTACAGTCGTACAACCACATTCTCCTGGTTGGTGACTTCAATAGTCATAGCATAGAAACCCCAGCCTGTCTCAACGAACACTTCAAAATGGAAGTACAGGAAATAATTAGTGGACTACCACTCTACAATCATATCACATCTCCCATAAGATTCCGGATGGGAAACAAACCGGGTATCCTGGATCTCGTTTTCACCAACGAAAAGCTTATGATGGAAACGGTCTCGATAGAGAGTCTTTTGGGCCGTAGCGACCATGCAACACTCATGTTCAAGTACATCTGTTATGCAGAGTATTCCTCAGAAAACACAGAGTACTGTCAGCTCATTACGGATTACGTCGCTCTAATCAAACTTATAAATGCTACAAACTGGGCATTTCTAGCAGAACGATCCCACGAGGTCACTTGGTCTGATTTTGCGCACCCCTTCGCCACGTTAGTAACTAGTGCTTCTAGAAAAACTTTCGCGAGCGAAGACAGTAAAATCATTCATACGCAGCAGGACATGGAAGTGTATCGTCAGGAGGAATTTACTCTGGCGAAGGTACAAGGAGTCACCGAGTGCCAAAACATGGAAAGCATACACTATCCAAAGACCTCACTGCGTAAACCAGGTACGCGAAGACAAAATACAGCACCAACAGAATCTAGCTGCGAAATTCCTTTTAAACCTCAAGCTCCTGTAAAGAAACGTTAACAAGCTCCGCAAAGAGCAGCGAGGAATTCCTGTCTTACACACGTTATGTGGACTCGCAAAAACCGCAACCGAGGCGGCCAACGCCCTAGGTCAACAATTCGCCCCGAACTTCCAGAGCACGACATCGCCGCATACAGTGTTCCCGCAAGTTGTATCACCACTAGGACTTAGCCAAATCACGTTTGCGAAAATGGAAGTCATGAAAATGCTAATTGCCCTGCGCGAGCATACCTCTCCCGGTGTTGATAATATTCGTCCAAAAGTGTTGAAACTGGCTGCAGTAAACCTGGCGCACCCACTCTCCAAGCTCTTCCAACGAAGCCTCGATGAGATGAGGGTGCCAACAATAGGAAGCAAGGCATCGTCACTTCCATCCATAAAGGGGGACGTCGTACAGATCCGGCCAATTATCGCCCGATAACACTACTTCCGGTGCTCTCCAAAATCTTGGAAGCGATTGTTGCAAAAGCGCTCATGAAATTCTTGGAAGAAAGCAATATCATAGCACAACTGTGACATAGATTTCACAAGAAACAGTCTTGCACTTCAAACTTGCTACTTGCTAGATCCAGTTGGACTGAGGTTGTGGACAGCGGAGTAGGAGTTGATGCAGTATATCTGGACTTCTCAAATGCGTTTGCAACTCTGAACCACCGTATCCTCCTTCACAAGCTGCAGTGCTGTACAATTGATGACCCAGTCCTCGGTTGGATAGGTAACTTCTTGCTTCAACGACATTTGAATGTAACACTTCGCGGCGTCATCTCTGACCCATTCGATGTTAAGTACGGAGTGCCACAGGACTCAGTACTTGGTCCACGACTATTCCTGATTTCAGATGATTAGTAGGGGGAGTTGAATAATATATGCGGAAATTCGTCACATCTAGACTCACTCAGACAGCCGTCACACGCCCGGAAAAGTACTGTACGCGCATTTCACCCTTTCAAAAATGGTCAGCATTGAGCATTCCATAGGATCCTCGTAGGGCTCGAAGCAGCAACTCGACTGGTGCCAGTCCGTGGTTGAGACCACTGAGTTACGGGGGAAGGCAACGACCATCGTAAATAAGTTACTAGATGTATGTGGTGCCGCTCACTATCCACTGACTTACACATTACTACCGTGCAGAGGACAGGGTAGCCCGCTCTGGCGACAGTGATCACCTCCAACTCCTTACACTTCGTTGATGATCTCGAAACATGGCAAGACAGTAGAACAAGCAGTGACAATGCAGCACTTCAGGATGATCTTGACAAGGTCTACGAATGGTCGACTTAGAACCTCCTTCAGTTCAAGACTGCGAAGTGCAAGGTGTTGAGCATACGCCATAAAGCCACTTGCGAATACAGACTGGGGAATCAAATATTGCAGCGCACTTTAACGGAATGCGATCTAGGCGTGATAGTGCAGGAAGATCTGGGCTGTTCCCGTTAGGCCGAGAAAGCCTCCAAAAATGCTAACCAACACCTTGGCCTTTCGCGGAGGGCATTTGGGCGCTTTGATCCTTCCATCGTTTCTCAGATGTTCAACACCTACATTCGGTTTCATTTTGTGTACCCCATCCACTTCTGACAGCCACGGTAAAAGCAAGACTTTACCGCTCTTGAACTGCTACAACGAAGGGCGACGAAGAACGTAAATGGTCTGTTTCATCTCCTTTACCGATTGAGGCTGAAAACCCTCGGGGTCTACAGTGGACAATATCGACGCTTGCGTGCTGATTCGATATTGACTTATATGATCCTGAGGAATCCAAACCATTATGGTCGTCACCTACTAAAGCTGAATCGCGATACCACACTCAGATGACAGCAGCTAAACCTGGTCACACAATACAGCCGGTTGGAATGCCGTCGGAATTTCTTTTCCCTTCGTGTGTGCCAGCACTAGAATGCTCTTCCCACATACGTTGTTTCTTCCCTCACGCTTAGGCGTCTGGATGATTCGCTTATCCACTTACATGACTTTATATAATCAGTGATGTCTATGTCAACGAAACGCGAACAAACGGGGCTCATTCTCAACTTTTGTACTTTACTACTTACACGCTGCTGCTGTGGAATATCGTTCGGATAGACTACAACTGGAATCATCAATTATATCAGTCCAAGAAAGCGGCGTACGAATAAGCGTTGTCGTTTCTTTTGTTCTTAAAACATACCTTCCCCATATTACTTCCCATGATACTCTACAGTATGGGTTCCCAACCTTTTTGAGGCCGTTACCCCCAAAACGGGTTCATTTTAAGCAGTTACCCCCAAACTTTCTAAAGCTAACAACTACTGCATTTTTGCTTTAAATTACGGCAAATGAATACCATATGTAATTATTTTCGATCATACAAATAAACGAGACCCCCATTGTAGTGTGAAGAAAATCCTTGAGTTTCTTTCAACAAGTGCAGCATTCAAAGTATTCTTGCTAATGCCCAGAACGCGAATTTGATGGGGCTGTTAGAAAGCGTTATCACACTTATCCTTAACGCATGTTGATGTACACCGGCGATTCTGAACCTTTTGGAGACTCTCACAAATGGGGTTTGCTATAATCAACCCGCCCTTACCCCCAATTTCCGTCTCAAACGCCAACTAACGAATAACTATCGCGCAGTTTGCTTCTAAGTACGGGAACTGATACCTGTTTGGAATAACTCCCGATAAACAAAAGCAAAAACAGTTGTTTGCTACAACATTGTATGCAATCAAGAGGCCATATACTGTCAGGGTTCCCACTTGTTGGATTTTGGTAACGCCTTTTGGTTGCGGAGTTCCTGGTTTAATAACCCGTCATTCTCGGATGCCAAAAGGGATTTAATACGTGTATTCCCATAAATGTATTTTTGGAGCTCCCAGATGTTATACACGAGGTAGTCTAGAGTCAGCCGGCTATTCAAAAGGAAAGTTGATCGATGGATGGAGCGTTTGAAAGAATAGTCGATACAGCTGGCAATATTATCAGCTAACCGGAAGGTTATGCAATGCAAGGTGAAAGAAACACTACAATACATCAATGGGACGGTTGATATTGCTTAGTGCTAACAATTTCTGGTATATTTGGCTCAGTTTCTGCTAATGCACATCGGAAGTAGTGCTCCAGGCTCATTCGACTCTTTGCTTTTGTCTTTATTGAAACCATTGTCGAAAATCCACTTTCACATCTATAGTGGTTGTAAATGGGATCAATATTCTCAATGCTCTTTCCGATAGCAATGGATACTCACCACCTATCTTTATCCAAAATGCTATCAGTGGTGTGCTTTGGAAATCTATTTTAATTCGTTATCTTCGCGCATTCCCAGGAATTGTGCTTTGGCTTCGAAGGCAGTTTCCGGAAAGATTTCCTCATCCACTGAAAATGATCTTAGCAGCCTGGCATTTACTTGGCGATTTTCCAAATCAGAAAAATATTTGCTGATGGAATGGACCACTGATGACAAGTGGCAAGTTTTATCATATGTGAAAGCGTATGTTTCATTTCTTCCAGCGAACACCATTGATAGTGCTGGAAAAATCGACACATGATCAACCGTTGCGCAGCGTTGGTAAAGCTGCATTTTAGGAAGAAAACTGGCAACCTTATACTGAGCAGTTAAAATATTTACCATATTTCCTAGCAAGCTGAGGTTCAGTGTAATTATTTCTCCGAAGAAATCTGCAAGATATTCTACTTTAGAAATAAATACGTCCGGAGAGATATCTGTATGAGTTGTCCATAGGCAAAAGTCGCATAGAGAATCCGTTATTGCCATCACTGAATTCAAGTATATGTTTCTGGAATGTTAACTGCAGAAAAGTAGGGGGAACTGATTAGCACTGCAGAACAAATGTAGTGAAGGGGATCACAGAACAATATTACAATTTAATCAATTTGTGCGGAAAATTACGAAAATAGTTCCTGACGCCACCAGTAAATAATTTTACTCTCGGTTTTAAACAGAAGACAGTTGGTATGAATTAAGTTTGAAAGGAGTAAAACCGCATAAGAAGTAGCATTAAAGAATAGCATAAGAAGCGGTTTGTAGCAGCTTATCCTAGATAATCATGTTTTCTATAGTGCATTCGGGTCGATGTTCTCCGGTATCATAAGTGATCCGGCCCTTCTTCATACAGCTTTTTATCATCAAGTTAAATTTTTAAAATCCATTTCACTCTGTCCGTTGACAGATAAGCCTTTATCATTTTCTTGAACATGCAAAAATGTTCAATATATCGAAACTCTTTTGGCAGCTTATTCCATGTGGAGTCATACCTAAGAAGATAGAAAATTCTCCTTAGACTGCTCTTGAATTTAGGTAAATAGAATATGCATTCGTTATATCGTAGTTCATAAGTGGTGTTTTCCCGAAAGTGCAATTGATAGGTTCCAATATATGCTTTCCGCCACGCGAGTTTGTGGAGGAAGCACAGATTTAATTGCATTCTTCGTAACCACAGATGTTCAAGATTCAACTGCTTGCACCTATCTCTGCATGAACGTGTGGTTGAATAACCAAATATACGCTACGTAAAGACGTGTTGGACGTTTTCAATGGCTCACAAGTCAGGCTTTCGCAAGTTACTGAACTTAACATAGCAATATTCAAACAAAGGCCAGATACTGATTTTGAAAGCAATTAGTCTGGTTTCTTTCAAGGTTATCAGGTGGCAAATGGGCCCGACCGACTGCTTAGCCTTTTTCCCCATATGATTTGCATGTTCGCTAAAGTTTAACGAACTGGAGTATCTTAAACCTAAGTCACGAACAGACTGGCTGATGGGAATGACTTCATCATGAAGCCTGAACACTTCTGCTGCTATCTGACATCCAAACGCTAGAATACTACACTTCGATGTTGCAAATGTCATCTGTCACATATCAGCCCATCTCTCAATGGCTTTCAAGTCACTTTGGATATTGTTCAGTTAGCGGTACGCTGAAGGCATGGGAACGTGTAAACAAATAAGGCTTCCCAGATTGTATATCAGAAACGCGGTCATTTATATACAGTAGGAAGAGTAACGGACCTAAGACACTGC